GAAAATCGGAGAGAATCACTCCTCCTGTTCTGCAGTGAGCTTAACGTTCTGAGGCTCCAGATGGTGGCTTTCTCTGACATCCTCAATTTGAGGTTTCATCGACATCAAGGAAGACTGGACATCTTCACTGGATAATAGCCCGCAGCCCCTCTCCCTCCTTTCTCTCTCTTCCTCTAGCACATGTAATTTTAATGGCGCTAAAAGCTCCAGCTGCCTACGCGTTTGTCAAACCTCGGTGAAGGAGGAGCAATGAATGATACATATTTCTAAAAATAGAAAGTTGTACGGACAGCTCATTATTCATTGTACAACATTAGAGATTGCATCAAGTGTATAATCGTATTAGTTTCTGTCTTTAACAAAGAATAATACTTACACTTTTGTCAAGGCCTCAAGACCTTTGAACAAATCTTTGGGGAGAGTCTCCAGATTGTTGAAGGCCAGACTCCTGATGGAAAAAAAAGAGAGCATATTTACTGCAATTTTACTGTAGAGCTTAATCTTAAACAAAAACGTGTATTTTTTTTAATAAATTAGGTAATGTCAAAGCAGTGAGTATATGTAATATAGGTACAGCTCAAACTTTAAATATTGTGAAAAGGTTAAATATTTTTAGTTACTCATTTTGAAAAGTACAACTCAATTATTATATAGGTTCATTACACACAAACTGAAATATTTCAAGTCATTTTTTTTCTTATTAGACTGATAAATACGGTTTACAGATCATGAAATCACCAGAATAAAAGCTCTAATATTTTCATAAAAAATAAAAGGAGGAAGTGTGTACTTTCAACAGGTATAACTGCACCCTTGAGAGGATCCAAATGCCCCCATTTTCAGATGAAAGTAAAGTTTCATTTGGGAAGCAAGGTCTCGATGTCTGGAGAAAAGAGGGCTCTCTTGCTTTAAGCCCAATGTTTGTGTTTTCACAGTAAGTGACGGTTTGGGTTTAGGGTGCCATGTTGCTCCACTGTGTTTTCTGAACTCCACAGTCAACACAACTACCAGGAAATTCTAGAGCATTTCATGCTTCACTCAGGGGACAAGCTGTATGGGCATGCTGATTTGTATTTCCCAGCAGGACTTCCCACCTGCCCACAGTGCTAAAGATACCAAAAGCTGGTTCAATGACCATGATCTTCCTTTGCTACATTTACCAGTAATCTGACCCAACCAGGACTGCATAAGCTATGGAGCATTGAAAATAGGAAAATGAGAGACACAAGGTCAAACAATGCAGCTGAAGCCTATCAAGGTCACTTTTACACCTACGCAGTGCCACAAGCTGATTTCTTCCATGCTGATGGGTTGGTCTTAAGTTTTTCAGAAACTGCTCGTCTGCTAAATTTTACATGCATCCATTTCTTTTTCTTTAAACACACACATTAAAGCCAGTGTGTGTTGGCTTTAATGTCTTTTTGAATTTTGAGGGGAATGGGCATACTGTTCTGAGATGATGGAAAGGCAACAATAGCTGAAATCATTACACAAAGGCAAACAGATTATCATCTCTGAAGGAAAAACAACCTTCAAACAAGTGGGCCACAGCAACAGAAACCTGCAATGGCTGTCACAACAAGCTTCAGTACATTTCATTAAGAGTTTCATGGGATAAATCAGCACAAGATATGGCATAATTGTACATATGAAGAAAAATAATTCACAGTTTTCACTACAAACACACACACAAACAAATGTTTGTGTGTTTGTCATGACATGGTATGTCATGATATGTTTGTCATATTATGATGCTCACATCATGATATGATGGTGATGGTGTGTTAGGAGCTATGTTGACTTTTAGTCCTCCATATTTCTTATGTGGTAAAAACTTCCATGACTTTATTTCAAGAATAAAACTCACAATTAGATTTGTATCTAGACTATCCTAACACACAAATATCCTCTGACCTTAGTGATGGATCTAACAGGTTTTCTGTTTATTACTCCATCCATCTTCACATTAACTCTGACTAGCTTCTCTGTCCCTGCAGAAGGAAATCAACCTATACTATCTGAAACTGCCACCAGCATGCTTTATCGTAGTCTGTTTACTAGCAGGGGCACAGGTAATTAAAAGGATGGTGATTACAAATTCATGTCAGACTTTTTAGATCTTTAATTTGTGAATAAATGTAAAAAACAACATGTTTAATCTTCCTACCACTTCAGCTATGCTCTGTTTTATGATTGTCTATCACACAAAATACCCAAGCATTACATTGAAGTTAACGTTTCAAATGTGACAACGTAGTAATAATGTAACAAGGTAAATGTAAATACAACATATATGAACAGTTTTGCGAGCCACTGTGTGAATACTGCAAACATGCTGAGCAGTTGCTTAACAAGGATGTTTTTTTTTTTTTTGCTTTCTAATGATTTTACCAGCTGCACATTGTTCGGAGAAATGTCTCTGTGGTAATACAAGCTGTGCAGTAACCTTTGTCAGCGTTTTTATATCTTCTTTTCATGTCCTTTTGAAAAAAGAGAACAAAAATAAGTACTTACAGGTGCACCAGGGTTTTCAGACCCCGGAAAGCATACGGCGAAATCGTCTGGATTTGGTTGGTTTCTATGAATCTGAAAAAAAGAAGTAAGTGCATGAGCAGAGAAGACACACTGTAAAAGTAGAAGGAATATCAGTCACAGTTTTATCATAAACTCACAGATATTCGAGATGAGGAAGTCCAAGGAAAGCATCCTCGTTTATAGATTCCAGGTTGTTTGCTGTGAACAGGCTGTGCAGAGAGAGCCCAGTGTTTAGTATTTGACTGCTCAGGGTCACGTACTGACAAGAGAACAGTGAGAAAACCTCTGCTCACTATGTTTCCCTAAAGTATCTTGCAATACGAAGCAAGACATTTCGAGGATTCCTGCCGGCAGTCTTAGGCAGTTGTTTTTTAGTGGCTCAGTCAGAGCCAAAGCATGACTCAGATCAAGAAGGAAATTCCCTGAAATACATCTGTGCCACATGGCATGTATGCACACATGTGTATGTGGTAAAACTTGGCTGCATGTAGAGAAAAGTGATCAGACCTCCCATGATAAAAAAAAAAAAGGAATCTGTTTGTGCTAACATTTCCTATCTGTCTAAAGTATTGTGAAAGAAAACGTCTTGGAAAATTAAACATGGCGTTGATCAGACTCAGGAAAATGACAGCATAATTAAAAAATAAAAAAAGCTCCAAAGATATTTCTCACAGGAGATGCAGGGCAGGGGTGTGGATGAAGCTCTCCTTGGCGATTTCGGTGAATTCCGACTTGACGAATGATCTGTGGGAGTAAAATGCGACAAATAAAACAAACACACACAAAAAACACACTGTTCAGGTCCACAGCAGACTTGTTATAAAACAGTTATTGCAGTCTGTTCCTTGGGGAATGCATTTTTGTGCTGTTTTGCTCCTGCAGAAAAGCCACTGATCGCACATGTTTGAAACGAAGCAATATGCTAGTCAGAAAGAAAACAAAAGGACTCACAGAGATGTGACATCGGGGGGAAAGCTGCGAGGAATCGACACTGCGCTTTCGCACAATGCGTTATCTTTGGTGCATGTGCATGACATGGGACAGCGCTGCTGCCTGGCTCTTTTGCTCTCCGCTGACGGTACCACAGAAGCCACCACGAGTAAACCGAGCCAGAGCCACCTCCTGGGTTTTCTGCGTGCATTTTCCATCCTCGGGAAGCTCTGCGGGCACGACTTGCGCGTCGAGCAGCCCTACACATGAACCAGGGTCTCTGCCGTGCTGCCTGCCTTCCCTCGCTGCTGCTGCTGCAGCTGCCAGGAGGCCGAGCGACGCGCCGTCCGCTCCTGTCGTCTCCACCGACCGGGCTGCGCGTCTTCTTCGCCGCCGATCCGGGGGGGGGAGTGGAGGCTGATCGAACCCGGAGTCCCCAACCCTCTGATCTGCAATTACACAACGAGGAAAAAACAACAACAAACAAACAAAAACCAAAAGACAAACCCAAAAAAAAAAAAGAAGAAAAAAAGAAAAAAAACACGAGCGTGTATCTTCTGGTGCACAGATGAGAACTAATCAGAAGTGTGGTGAGGTGCGTGTGGAGCAGAGGGGGACGCCAGCTGGCGCTGTGACAGACGCGGTGTGAGGGCAGGTGGGGATCCCAGCGGGAGCAGACGGAGCATCTCGATCCAAAAACCACGCCTACACTGAAAAAATAAGTCATTGGATGAACATAAAAAAATTATGGAAAGGATTTCCACCTGATTACTTTGCTTTATTTCAGCACCATGTACTTGTGTTACTCTTATTTAAAGCAAATGTGTTAGGTCAACCTAATTTATTAAGATTATTCCAATGTAAAGCAAATGTGTTGGCTCAACTTGTTACTATGGTGATTCGATGGGCGATTCTAAATCAAACATGTTGGCTCAACATAATATTGTGGTTATTCTTATATAAATTAAATGAGTTGGCAACATAATTCATTAAGGTTGTTCTAATTTAAACCAAATATGTTGGCTTAACCAGAATTATGGTAATGCAACGGATAATTGTAAATCAAATGAGTTGGCTCAACTCCATTCATTAAGGTTATTCAAATTCAAATGAAATGTGTTGGCTCAACATATGTTTTAAAGGTTCCTTTAACTGAGTTACTATAGCGTGACCCAGTGTAATGCAATACAGCCAGCCCAACTAATCTGCAATGTTTAGGACCAAATCATTGATGTTACTTCATTAAGACGAATCTAGTTGAAACCACCTTATTTTACAATGGTACCTTCACACTACCTGATTCAGTAGGTCCAACTCACTAAAAGCAAGTTAGCTCAACAAATATGCTTCATGCTAAAAGACAGCTAGTTAATCGTGTGGAAATCCTTTCCATTATTTCATGATGTTAGTTCAAAGACATTTTTTCAAGCGTTAATCAAGCATTTTAAGATAGCACTAGGTGAAAGTGTAGGAAGAACACTCAACAATTAGAAAAGGTACAACACAATTGTATTTGCAGAATTGTTATACATCGTCTTTTTACACAGCACAAAACACAGCTGAGTTGGACATTGAAATAAAAAAACAACTACAAAAAGGTTACAGTTTCATTTCCCAGCCAATTCTTTACAACATAAAACATGTCAGTATAGTTGCTCAACTTAGAGAACTGTAACAATATAAATCTTTTCTACTGCAGACTTTAAACACTCATTTTCCATATGAAACTTAACTTAGCAGCGAGTTTCATATTGAGAACTTGTGCTTTCTTTGATAAGTTCTTTCCATCCAATTTCATTATTATTTTCTGTATTACTTCAAAGGTATGCTTGAGTTACTGAGCAAGTTGAGTTCTGAACGCACTAAACTTGAGGGTAGCTCAAGTTTAGCTTTGTACACTACATATGGCTCTGCAGACTTTTTTCGCACAGAATGTACCTAACATGGTGCGGCGATAAATGTAAACTTGAGGGTAGCTCAAGTTTAGTGCGTAGATTAGTCCCAGCAGCATCACTATTGCAGAAGATACACTGCCCAAGCTGTTCATAACTTCCACCTCCTCCAAGACAATCCCAACATCCAGATGTGCATCGGCAGCCTCTGCACCCTCTGCTCAAATGACGATTCCGAGGACAGTCTCGGCTTTGGCCATTTCATTCATCAACGTCCTAAGGGAGTTAGGGAAGGGTATTGGGGGGGAGACAATTCACATGTAATTAAATAAATAAATTAGACTGACATTGATTGAGTCACTCATGGACCTTAGTTGGTGAAAGTATTTTAACAACTCTTAGGAGTTCTATTGTAAACACAAAAACAATTTAACATACCATGTACTCCCTCACCAGCTTCTCTGGATCTTCATTTAGGTACACACAGACCTTTGAGGATGCACTCTCATCTGCCCTCAGCAGTGTCATCCTAAATATGCAGATCAAAAAACAATGAGAACAATCTCAAAACTCCAGCAGTATAGGTTCACACACTTGAAAGCATAGCTGCATTCAAAGGAAGTCACAACAAAAGTGATCAGTGGCTTGCAGTCTGTTTGAAAGATATTTAAAATTGTTAGTATCCCTTCATTATGCCATGACTAAAATGGAGTATAACATATCATTTAAACATCTAACTGAAGCTGTTAGAGGTTTAAATAAAGACATGAATATATCACCAAAGAAATATGTGAAAAGTACAGAATGGTCAACACAGTCTATATCCTTCTACTTAAATGAATATGCAAGCATTCCATGTCTTACAAGTACATGGACAGTCTATGTGTGGGCATGGATAACGTCGCATATGCCGGTGTTTAAGTGTAAAATGTTTTAACAGGTCATATCTACGAGACAGAGAGAGACTACACTCCTTACATTTCCACATCCCCACGCAAATAAAGACAAATAAAACAGACTGGCCAAATAAAAGTTTAGCTGAACCCTAGCTCTATAAGCTCTCTAACACTACATTCAGTCACTTTAGATCTGGCAAAACTTACTATTAGCCACTGAAATCTATAACTTGATAGCCGATGAGCCCCTTGACCAGAACTTACGCAGGTGGATTACAGACAGGTGATGTTCTGAAAGAGATCAGATATATTTTCAGCCATTAAAATATGCAATTCATACTGAACTGAGTTGTATCTTTTAGTACAAGTCCCTTGAATGCCTCATGAATATAACCACTGGACACATGCAAGCACGTATGTGCAGAACAATGGTGAATTGAACATGGTAGAAAGCAATAGTAACAAAGGTCAAAATGAGCACAATCAACACAAAAAAACATCAACATTTCAAAATTAAACCAATGAACTTCAATATTGTTTCTGAGCTACAATTATTTGGGGACAACAAAGAAGAGTCCAAAAAACCCCCAACATCTTTACAGCAGAGGAATATGTATTTTAAAGAAAAAAAATAGAAAGCTCAAGTCTGTAATAATGGATAATCCATTGAGAGTTTTAGCCTGACAAAATATACTAGAAATCCATAACTAACAGGTATTTTAGGAACATTTAACAAAGCTCAGAAAGCAATGCTTTCTGCAGGTTTCACCGACTGAAATGTAGGACTTTTTTACCATAATTAATTAAGAATCTCGATGATGATAGAAAGGTACCAAAGTGTGTATCTACATTTACCTCCATAGTAACATTACTGAAATAGAATTAAAATAGTTAGAAATAGACTGATGTTAGATCAGTGTGTTAAAAATCCACTAAACCTCCAGGGAGCTCAGGAGGAGCAAAACTGTGACATTTCTGGGGTCCATTTGTGTCTCTGGCAGCAGCTTTGTACACTACATATGGCTCTGCAGAGTTTTTTCGCACAGAATGTACCTAACATGGTGCGGCGATAAATGTAAACAAAAAGCTATCTGCCTTAACCTAACCGACTTAATCTACAGAACATGAAATAATGTGACACAAGTATGGAACAATTAGAAAATGGTGCAAATGGTAGAGAATTTTAAGTTACATATTTTTATATGGATTTTGGATGAAAATAGTTTGACTCTTACCTTCTTCAAATTAAGTGGATGCACGCCAGGAATCTCCCCTCTGCCCTTGAAAAAACCCAACAAGGTGCAAGCCAGTTATCTCGCGTGATTTTCCGTAATCTCTTGATGTCGCTGGATCCTCTTCAGCGGGAGATGAGTCTGACACAATAGCGCTTTGGAACTGACGTCACTGTGTTTTTTTAATTAGATTAACTTTGACAAATATTGATATTGAATAAAATTTTATATATATATATATATATATATATATATATATATATATATATATATATATATATATATATATATATATATATATATATATATATATATATATATATAGATACTGCGCAGGACCCTCAAGCTCCCAGGCCTCTGGTAGAGGACCCGAGCTCAGAGGATAAGAACCACCCGCGGTGGGTATATAAATGTTAATTAGATTTATTCAAGTTGAGATAACGTCATTCAATCACGTTAGTCCAGTTGAGAGAAAACCGATTGTCTCGCGTGTTCTCGCGTGATATGCCGTGATCTCACTCGTTGTCGTCAGCACAATATCAGTCTGACAATAATGAATCTGTTAGCTCAACATGATTCAATTTTATAAATGTGAATCGTGGAATATCTTGTTTATCCAACATGATTTTATCACGTTTTCGCTTCAAACCCAACATTATTGTGAAAGGTACATGATATTCTTTTGTTCATGTAATATGCCCCGACGTTCTTTTTTTTTTGGCGGAAGATCTAGCTGACGTAATTGAATCACGTTATCTCACCTTGAATACATTTTATTCCATTTGCGAGAGAAAACCGATTGTCTCGCGTGATATCCCGTGATTTTCCGTAATCTTGCGTGAACATGCGTGATATCCCGTGATCTCACTCGTGGTCTTCAGCATAGGATCGGTCTGACTATAATGAATCATGTTAGCTCAACATGATTCAATTTTATAAAAGTTGAAGTTGTGGAATATCTTGTTTATGCAACATGATTGTATCATGTTTTTGGCTCAAACATGGAATTATTTAGTTAACAGTACATGATATTCTTTTGTTAATGTGATAACCCCTGAGGTTCCTTTTTTACAGTGTATGGTTTCAGCCAAAGCTACGCGCTCGATGTCAAGCGCCTGGAGGATTCCGCCCAATGGGCAGGCGGATCTGGTTTTATGGGGTATTTTTTTTGTTGTTGTTGCTCCCTCTGTCAATCAGCATACGCACAGCACAGATAATCACTATAAATGAAACTCCAACACGAAGCAGCGGATTGCTGCCTGAATGGTGCAGACGCTGCCTAAGCTGTCCATGCGGGAAGCGGCGTGCAAAACCGGGTTAAAATTGATTGTTGCCGTCTGATGGAAATGCGCCTGCAACGTACTGTCTTATTACAAGCCCATTAGCCTTAGATACGTTTAAACGCTTGTTTTCAGATAAATAAGTATCATTTTGGCGCATCTCCTGGCTGCCTCCCGGTTGCCATGGTGACAGGAAGATGCTCATAATGTTTGAGGCTTTGCTGAAAGGATGCTGCGGGAAGGGAAGTCCTTCAGACATCTGTTCTGCTAACACAAAGACCCCTCGGCCCCTTTCAATCTAAAGTTTCATCTCTGTAAATTAGAACATCATCATAAAAGTTACCGAGTTGGAAAAGTCAAACTCACATTGATTCAGTACACACAAAGTGATATTTCAAGCATCTATTCCTGTTCATTTAGATTATTATTATGACCTTCAAGAAAAAAAAAACAATAGTTTCTCTGACAATTAGAATGTAATACAAAGTGAATAAAATATATTCTAATACAAAAAATATGCAGCTGCCCAGCAAGCATTCATTAATGCTTTACCTATGACCTATGGAAAGGTCATATTACCTATGACCTATGAAAAGGTCATATTACCTATGACCTATGAAAAGGTCATAGGTAAAGAAGATGGCAGTTCAGAGTTTCAACTTTCCAAGCATACTTATGGAAAGTTGAGTGGAAGGAAAAAGTGTGGTAGAGACATGTGTTCAAGCAAGAGGGACAAACAGGATGGCAGAATTGAATAACATCCTGTTGAAGTTTTGTTTTTTGATTTTTTTGGAGCCACCACTCGTAGAAGAATTCAGAATTCAGGACATGATCCACAACATTGTTACTCGTTGGGTTATCCACTTCAGAACCAGAAATTTTAGAAAAGTTTTACCTAAGCTAAGACGAAAGAGAGCTGGAATGTTGATCAGCTGTTTATCAGTGGTTCCAATTCCTCTTTTCAGATGAAAGAAATGAAGTCTCCAGAGTCTGGAGGAAGAGAGCAGGAACACAGAAACCAACATGTTTCAGTTGCATGGGAGCTAAGAGATCTGACGTTGGTGGGTCACTGCGCTAAATCAAGTCCAGAGTCAACGTCACCGTCTACCGGGAAATTCTTCCACACCTCGTGCTTCCTCTGCTGACAAACTGATTTCTTTTTCCATCAGGACCTGACATCTGCCAACACAGCAAAACTATCAATACCTCTGAGGTGATGTTAGGAGGGAGATGAGATACATCAGCGCCTACAATGAAGAGCATCAAGGCAGCTGGAAAAGAAAGCTTGGCCTCCTTAACACCTTAGCAAAGTCGCAGGCAGATTCCCTCCATGCACTAATGCAGGAATTAAAATAATCAATGTAAATGGTAGAGCCCACGGATGCATCTTTCTGCCGGATGACATTCTGGGTTGAAAATAGTTTCTTTATTGGATTTATTCAGATCTTCCAATAAACTGAGTCCTCGGCTATTATTAGCGCTAATCATTCAAACAGCTGACATGCATCACAGCTTGGGTTCCACTGTATTTGCCTGCAGAACATCACATTGACAAGGCCTCTTCCTCTTTGCCAGAAATGCATGCTGAGAAGACTTCTGGGAGTCTTCACCACATAATTCCTCAGATCCCATTAGAGTTGTAGGATTAATATGTTTACTCACTGTATGCGCACCAGGTCTGTCTGGGAAGAAGCTTTTTAAAAGGTCTCTAAATAAATACACTGTGTTCTCCACCTCCTGTCTCCCTGTCCCTGATGTGATTACACCATTAGATGCCCAGTGCCAGTTTACAGTTCTGCCTGTACAAATGAAAGCAGGGCGTTTCGAGGGGTAGGGGTGGGGGGCTGGTCTGGATGTCATATTTTGATGGTATGCAAGTGTATTGTGCCAGGAAGAAAGAAGTCTCTTCTTCTCAGAGGAAAAATGTGGACTCGAGTTGGAGAAGCCGAGAAACCAAAGTGTTTTTCTCACTTTTAGTTTTGCTGCACTACATTCAGAACACTGGATTTCATTGTTGTGCTGGTTGGTGATGGAGTTTCATAAATGTCATGATTCACAGTGTGTATAGTCATATTCTTTCAGTGGAATTTGGGGCAAGTGTTCTGTGACTTATATAACTTCATTTCCAGCTTTTTCAATGCACTTCCTCCCTTTGGAGATATTTCAGATCTTTGAATGATTAATTATACACATAGATTTTACAAGGCACTTCACCTCTGGCATTTGGCCTTTACTTTGTTATGGCTTTCTCCACTGGGGGAACACAGAGAGCTCCGCTTCATGTCTGATCAATTATTAAAGGTTTAATCAGTCATTTTACATCAATTTATTTTCACAAAGAAACAGAACAAATCTTCAGTTACATTTATCTTAATGAAAACGATGCTTTAAAAATTCAATTAAATTTGAAATCATTTCAGAACTGAGGTTCTAAAATACCATCAAGCAAAATTGCAGTTTATTAACAGGCATTGAACTTGCGCTAGGACGTCTAAACAAAGAAACAGAACTGAACTTTGATGGGTAGATTCATTCCAGACAGGTTTCCAGGTGCTTCAGCAGCTCTCTGTATTCGCTGGCCGGGTACTCATTCTGGCAGCTGGGACACTCCAGGATGCTTTCATTCAGCACGCTGGTGTGAGTAGAGGACGTCAGGCTGTCTCTGGGGGACGAGGAGGGTGGCATTGCCTCTTCACATGAGTGAAGGTCCTGCTGGTCTCTCTGACACAAACAGAGCCAAACGTCAGTTCAGATCTAATGTCAGGTTAAACCCGATTTCTAGGCGAATCAGTAATTCTTGTCCTGTGACACTCAAAGCTGCACAGATTTCACAGTAAGGATGTGTATGGTAATAAAAGCAGAAGCGTACAGTGCTTTCAGGTAACCTTGGCCCATGAAGCAACGCGTCTTAATTCTGCTTTAAGTTTCATCACAGAGAAGAACTGAAATCTGTATTCATGCCAACCTTTGGCTGATCTGGGGAAAGGCCGTCTTCTCTATGTAGCTTCTTCAGAATTCTGAGCATTTGCTTCTTTAAATATGAATTGTCCCGCTTTGCATCCTCAAGGTCTTGTGAAGAAATCTTGATCTAGAATTAAAAAAAAAATTGCCAGTGCAGCAAAACTTGTAAGTGTAATGATATTGGGAGAATATTTCAAAGTTTTTTTTATAAGCAAAACCTCATGAAAGGAAGGACTAAATATTAGTCTGTTCCTATATGAATTAGGAGAATCCAGATGCTTTGTGGGTAAAAAAAAATCAGAACTGACACAAGTAGAACATGTCTGTTTCTGTCCTACCTGTCTTTCCAGGTCTGTAATCTTTTCCTGGTCTGCATGGTGATAGTTTAACATGTACCTCTGATAGAGGCTTGCCTGAGAAACAAGCAGACATTTTTGTTTTCTAGTCTAAAGTCTTGATTTTCTGACATGAATGGAAAAAATTTTCATAACTTGTTTCACAAACAACTTACTAACATTGTAGTTTTAAGAACCGGACTGTATTATAAGTTGACATGTCATGAGTATTTACCTGCAGCTCAAAATTTGTAGACCTTCGTTTCTCCTCCTTCAGCCTGGCTTGGAGTTCTTGGGTCTTCTCCCTCAGCTGTTGCTCTTCCTCCTCAGAGTTTAGACATTCTTCTTGTGGGCTTCCTTTGCTTATTGTTTCACTCTTCATTTGGTAGACGAGAGCCTCCAACTCTTCTTCTCTTGCTCTGAACCTAGAGATGAAGTTCTTATGTAGCTTACAACCATTTACAATCTTCCCTGTTTAAGACAGAACTGAATGGGTCTTATTTTGCCACACGCCATACCGTTTTTCAGCAATGATCAGCTCCTGATGAGTCACTTCAACTTGTTTTTTAAGCATATCCAGCCAGACATCAGCCTGTTTCAAGAGGCTTTCAAAGAGTTCTTTAAGCTGTCTTTGTGGCTCTGCTGTATTGAAAGGATTACAAGGCAACAGAAAGATAAGTAATGGAACTTGTTAAACACTTTTACTACACACTGTTAAACTGTCATCTCGAAGAAAATGCTGCAGCTGGTGACAATCTCTGTCACTATGGGATACTACAAAACTATCTAGATGTCTTAAAAAAAAACCTAGTTGTGACAGTAGGCTGCCCTCTGTTGTATTAGTGGTGAATGCTTGCTGCCCACTGTCCCTTTGACTCACCATCTGAATGCTCCTCATTGTGCTGCTTTGAGTGGGCCTGATTGGTTTCATTCAGATGCTTCTCCAGCCATAACATTTTGTCCAGAATTGCCCTAACATAGGCCTCTCTCTGCTGGTCATAATCCAGCCACTGCTTGTTCTTTTCCAAAGCCTTGAAGGATCAGATAAATGAATAAGAAGAACACAAAGACACAGCTGGACGAGGAGGGGAATGTGAAGTGCAAATACTTAGCGACATGTATGAATCTGTCGCTAAGATTCATACTTTGTTACATGAACAGCTAAAGAGAGTAAAGTAATTTTCACAACACTTGCATCGTTGAGCTTATGCTGAAGATGTGAGACAGCTTCATCGCTGGAGAATGATGGGGAATCCTACAAGACAAGAGAAAAGATAGAGCATTCCACATTACAAAATCAATCATAAAAATCAACATAATTTCAAAGACAACAGTGAAAATCGAGCCATGCGAAAGATGGCTAGTAAAAATTCATAGAAATGAACATGAGGCATAATCAATCAAAAACGAAGCGTGAAAGAAAAACTGCTGCCATCTAGTGGTTTAAATCAAGTAAGACCGGAACTCCCTCAGAAAAAGATAAAAACATCAGGTGGTTTAGCAGTGGTGCTTACACATCAAATATTTCACAACACTGCGAAACATTTCTCCTCCTCTTTCTATGACATCACAACAATTAATTGGTGTCGACTCAACTTTTATCATGCTCACATCAATTTAAAAAAAAAATCCGAACAACTGCAACCCCTACCTCTGAGGACAAAGTAGTTTTTTCATTTTTTGGTGGAAGCTGCTGCTGCTGACGACTCTCGAGCCGCAGAGTTTCAAGAGCGAGGAGTTTCTGTAAGCAGGTCAACAGCGAAAAGTGGTTTCCAGAGCCACATAAATAGACAATATAAGCAAACTCTCACAAGTTCTTTCCAACAACAGCTCAAACACAATTTATCTTCGCTGTGCTTACCTCCACAAGCTTATTGTGTTCGGCATGATGATGGGACACCTCAGCTAGAATCTTCTTCAGCTGGATATTCTCCTTCTTTAATATGCTGATGATCCTTACAAGCTCTAAGCTGAGTTTTTTCTTGAGTGAAGCATTATTTTTATAGGCTGTCATCTTTATTACCTGATCAGAAGAATTAGAGCCAGTAGAACAATATGAGACAATATAACAGTTGGTTATTATAGTTTATATATATATATAATTTGGTATTTTAAAACACAGACAGAAGACACCAAGTTTTGCTGTGATTTACAAGTGATTATTTCTCAAAATAGCATATATATTTCCAAAGCTTCGTGATCCAAAGTCATTTAAATCACAGGAACAGAAAAAGGAAAGTTTAAGTGGTTCTGTAACCAACCTTTAACCTTTTGGTACCAATAACTCGGCAATTCCTACCAGGCAATGACTGTTTTTACCAGGAGTTAGTTTTGTTTGTCTTAAAAGCACAACCAAAAAAATCAACACTGATAATATTTTATCTGAAATTATCAATGGTTAACTTGGGCTTTGGGGGCAACTAAGCCCATTTCTAGAAGATAAATTAGCTGAAACAATCCTTTTTAAAGCCTCATTTTTACAAACATAAACATAGAGGTCAGTGACCCATATAAACTTGTTTTTAACTAACCTCAGAAAGCTAAACAAGCTAACGGTTTTGAGCATAATGAGACATTTATTTACCCAAAGAAGATCATCTTCCGATCTGGTAAGTGCTTCTCTTCTGTCTGTCTTGATCTTTTAGAAATATTTATAAGTTCTCGGCTCTTCAGTCTTATTGTCTAAGTTAGATTTAGCTAGCTGAACAAATTAAGCTAACGCTACCGGTGCTTTTCTGGAAATTTAACATGTAAAGGTCAACAACGTTTTCAACGAAACTCGTTAGAATTGGTTTCATTTTGTTTTACCTGAAAACGTTGGTTGCTACATCAAAATATGGCCTTATTTTTCTGAGTTATCCTGTTTTTTTGAGGCAAAACTCTCCGCAAGCGTTGGGCGCGAAAGCTTCCGTTTGGAGAAAAAGAAAACAATTATTTCACTCCAGCAACGTTTTGGTACAAACTCAAAGTTCCGTTGCAGTTAATCGTGTTAGGAAGATAAGCCAAAGACAAAAGAGAAAAAATACGTGGGAAAATTTGAAATCCCAAGCTATGCTGTTCTCGGATATTGAGACTCCAGGGGGCGCTGTTGCCTCTATTGAATTTGAATTAATAACACTGGGTTTTATTAAAATACAATCTATTGCCTCCTTTTGTCAAGAAGGGCAATAGTTATTGCTGCTACTCTTGCTATTAACCCATAGAAATTAATACTGGCCCATAATTACAATTCATTTCAGTTTAATTCAGATATTTATGTAGGCAATATTGTGCCAATTCACAGCAAATATTATCTTAAAGGACTTCACCAGAAAGTCCAAATAATGTCTACTCTTGGAAATATGTAATCAAATGTATCCAATACAATCAAATCGTACAATTATGTTCAAATTCAATTACAGACATTTCGGATACTATTTGTAAAGCAATTTAGTCAAAGTCAGTTTACAATGCAATTTGATGTAAAGTTATTTAAGGAAGCCTGAGAAGTTATTGGCATCAGTACTTCTTGCAGATGCCATTAAAATTGTATTAAAAAATATGAAAATACATCGTTATTGTTCACCTCAATATGCCTGTGCTTATGAATCATTGAAAGGATAACAATGTCTTGTTATTGTTGAGCACCTGAATAAAAAAAAAAGAAAAATCTGCATGATTGCATTTTTCAATTACAGCCATCAGAATGTGTAACCATCTGTGTTTCAGTCCAGCTTCATGCAATCGGTACTTCCAAATAAAGTTAGGGAGAGTGAACAGTAGCAACAGCGCCCTCTAGTGTCACAATATCCGATGGTCACCTAATTCTGAGTTACAGCGGCAGTACCAATATGTCCACTGGAGGGTGGTGTTGCGCACTAACTTCGCTGGGGGGATTAAAAGCGATTAGGCAATTCTGAATATTTAAAAAAACTGGCTGCTGTGTACACACCCATTTCTGTTCCTCATTTAAAGCCACCTCAGAGGTAGTGTTTTTTTGGCCGCGATGACTCATGAATGAGGTTGTCCTCATCCTCTTCTGCAGTTCTCTCCTCCTTTCATCTCATTTCTGTCGGAGGAGTACATACTCTCCTGACGGAATGTGTCGAGTCGCCGAGTAAACTTGGATTTTGGTCACTATGCTGCGGGTCATTGTCGAGTCTGCGAGCGGGATTCCTAAAAAGAAACTAGGAAACCCAGATCCAATTGCTACTGTTCTTTTTAGAGGTGAGGAAATCTCATATTAATTTAACAATTTTTCTGTGTCAGCCAGACGAGTCATTCACATATTTTAATTTATATTTTAATCAGTCACCTTCTTTGTAGTCCTTTTGAGTATCAAAAATGTCACAATATCTCCTTAGTTAAGGAATCTTTTTTCCAGAGGGCTTAAGTCAAATATTTGGGCAGCGATTCAGCAAATGAGGGAGATACATCCTTATAAGGTCATAATATCACCTAACGTCTCAATCCTTGTTCTTGGACTTATTCATATGTTTTCATTTGCACATAAATGAGATTTAGTGCGTTTCACAAGTTTGCAACAAGTTTAGCTGAATAGCTCTCGAAATAAAAACATAAGGAAGTTATAAAGTGAATAAAAAGCTGCTAAAGCCCAACATATAAATTATTCCCTTTTTTGTGCTTGCAGGTGAAAAGAAGAAAACAAAAGCAATTAACAATGACCTGAACCCAGTTTGGAATGAAGTAAGTGAAGAATTACAGTGCTTTTAACTTTATTTTGAACTTTTACAAGTTGTGCACCGTTTTAAATGCTCTTCATTTTGAATTACAGGTCCTTGAATTTGATCTGAAAGGCTCTCCTCTGGATGCATCCTCCTACATTGATGTGGTAGTAAAGGACTATGAGACAATTGGGAAACACAAGTAAGTGTTCAGGATACACTGTCACATTTGCAACCTGTATTCGGATTGTAATGGTTTACGCCGTAATGTGTTTTGATTAAAACTAGTCAGGACTTCCCCAACAGAACATCTAGGTAATGGGAGAAAAAAGGGGAGAAGAGAAAGGAAAGAAAAACAGAAATAGTTCTGATTGAGGCAAAGGAAAAGAAACATCCTTCTTGAAATATTTGTGTTTCCAGGAATAAGATAGTGATTACCATTTAAAGCTTTGTTGAGGACAGGTTAACATTTCTCTAAATTCTGAACAGCATGTTGAAACTTCACTTAGCTGCGTGTCTCAAACGCACTGAACCATGTTAAGACTTGTCAAAAAGAAGTGCTTTCTTCTTCTCTTCTTCGGACAAATAAAATCTCGCCCTAAGGAGAGATTGAGCTCTTTTACTTTCTAAACTTCACGTGCATAGCAACACAAAAGACTGTGACTTTATTGTTTTGGTTAAATAGCTACTGCTCTCTTAGTGACATTCTTTCACCAGTTTGCAGGCCAAGTAAAAACATTTCCTTTGAGTCACTCCAGTGACCGACAGTAACAATGTAAACTGATTTGCAACCAAGAAGGGGGAGGTGATGGTGGGTGATGGGTTCTGTCTCCCTTATGATGAATGATACTTCATAATCAAAAGAGCTTGTGGTGGTGAGTTTTTGGGCCAAATTTGATGACTGCAGTTCTGGCAGTAATGGCACTTAAAGGGCTTTGCAAAAGTGGTAGTCTGATGTCATCAGAGCAACTGCCTCCACAAGTCCCCAACGAAAGCACAAGCAGGACTTCTAAGGGCTTTCTTTCAACATTAGGTGTTACTCTTATTCCTACATTCTTGTGGACAGCAGAACTAATAGTTGTCATATCAACAGATTCCCTGTGGATCTCTGCAGCTCCCCCAGAGTTACAATAGACTTCTTGTCTGATGTTCAGATTAATTCTCTATAAGTTTTCATCAGGCTGAACAATTTTTCTTAATACAATGACAGCTTAGGATATTGTTTTATAACTCAAGCTTGTTTTAAACTTGCTTTATACTGAGAATAAATGACAGGCAGATGGGCTCTATTTACCAATTAGATAATGTCTGAAGGTCATTGGAAGATTTTCTAGACAAATATAATAAATACAATGTAGAGAAAAGACAAAATTGTTTACTGATAGTTGGGAATGTACAAGTAAGAAACTTCAACAAGAGCTTCAATCTTCTGTTAAGAATGACAAAAGAAAACAGTAAAATTCCACATGCATTTTGTAGTAATTCAGACTATTTTGTGCTATTATTTGTTATTAATGTGACCACAAAGCATCCAGCATCAGCCAGTGGTACATTTAAAATACGTTTTACTTGCACTTCCTCAAAGTATATCCTTGAAATTGCATGGCAACTGTTGACTAATCAGGGATAATCCTTTCTGCCATTGCAATAACATCCTTTCACAATTGCATTTTTGGTTCAAATTTAGTTAAATTGAAAGAGTTGGCATGAGTTTGGAGAGTTTCCAGGCTGTTGCAATATAATGTGATTATTAATCATGGCTGTAGAGCTTCTGTTTTTCACACAAAGGGACTACAGTAAGTTTCCATGCTATATTCAGGAAGCAATGAAACTGGGAAGTTAAGATTATTTGTCATGGTAACGAGAAAAAAAACTATTACAAACATTTATTCTGGTTCCAGTTTATGTTATGTTTATGTGTTACTATTTGTTGAAGCATAGCATCCTTGAAGTTCTGTTTGCGACGAAAATTCACAGATATGTTTTTTTTTTTAATCAACGCTCAGTATTACATGTGTGACTCGTGATGTTTTGCTGAACATAAATTAATGTGATTGCTTTCCAGGTTTATTGGTTCTGCGAAAATCTCACTGAGAGATTTGGCCAGTGGTCAAGTGAAGTCCCTGCCATCTAAAAATGTCCCTTTGATCAATGAGAAGCAGCAAAATGTGGGGGTAAATAAATTCGCTTACATCCGTCGTAAATGATCCCATGTATATTTAAAACCTTAGTATGTTAGACCTTCACAGCAACTTCAGTATCAATTTATCGATTGTATCAATTTATTCTATGTTGTATTATATTCATAGTAGACAGTGGATTGGATAATAGTACTTGAAATGTATGTTCTATGTAAAATGGTATTTATTCATCATTCTCCAGGCAACCATTAATTTGGGCATTGGCTATGAGTCACCTTCTAGTCCAGACCTGAATGATCACACTAATGTCGACGTCTCCTACACAGAAGCAGGTAAAAAACACAACAGTTCATTTCTATTAAAATGGTCAGACTTTTATTATGACATTAAATGGTTATATCTTTCTAGGTCTCTGGTAAACTTATACATTTGCCTTTGAAGTTATAATATATATTTCTAATGAATATATATTTAATCAGAAATATATTATAATATAAAGTAGACTAAACTTAATTTAACACAGCCATAATAATTTTCTTAAACTTTTCATATAGTAGAATAGCACCATATTGGGAAATGTATAAGAGGATTGAATTTAATTTTATTTATTTAGTACATCAATAAACATTTAATTGTAGGGAAATATTCTAAACAATATTTCAGCTTCACCTATAATTATGCATTTCTGTTTAAACTATCAACTATTTAATTATTGAGAAGAAGACTGCGCATAGTTGCATTGCTTGTTCCTAGTATTTTTCTTTTGTGTTGTTCAGGAGATCATGAGGAGGATGATGAGACACAGGATGTTATGGATGGAGCTGGTCAGGTTGGAAGTTCAGGAATGCCTCCTTCACCAAACCATCCTGGAAAACCAAGTCATAAGTTGCATCGTTTGAGTAGAAAGAGGCACAAGGTTCTGGCCAATAAGCCTCAAGACTTCCAGGTTTTGTTTTGTTGTGATTACTTTTCCTGCATAACAACAAACACCAAACTGATTCAGGAATGTTTCTATGATGCACAAGAGCATGTACAATCAGATCAAATGTGGACTTAAAATCATACCAGAAAGTACATCACTAAAATTTTTGTAATTCTGTAAAACTGAAAATTTATCTGTTGGTGTTACATATTTTCACACAGTTGGTCCTTTGCGTTTGGAGTAGTTGTGTTTGTCAGCTTCAGTGAATAAGAAGCTTACAAACAGCTGCCCCACAATGTTTAATTATATTTTCAAAATA